TTAGGGAAAAATCTTTTCTATTAAATAAATTATTTAATTACCATTACCTTTAGGCTTCCATAACATCCTCAGATGATATAGTGGTTTTATAAGGGTTGAAAACTACTGTAATACTAATATAAGCCATGTTAACTTCTAAATTAAATAGTACTGAAACCAAGACCTTTCTTGGGTTGTTGCTACACAGGTTTTTTTTTTAATTTATTATTATTAGGGATAATAAATAAAATCCTTAAAACCACTCATCATTTGAAGTTGGTCTAACAGCAGAAGCATGATGAGAATATACTTTTGAGAGGTGAAGCATTTTTTAGTTCCACAAATTCCTAATAAATTATGTACTTTCAACTTAGTGCATAAATATACTACTGATACTTTGACGAAAATATTATTTGGCACTTGGAGCTGTCAATTTAGTTGGTATGTTCAGTGAATGCAGAACCATAGAAAGAAATCAAGAGCCCCAGGAATAATTTCCCATCCAATTGTAGCCTCTTATCAAGTATGAACAAATATATTATGTAGAGATATTACATAATGTATGTAATGTTATTTATACTTTATTTTAATGTACATTAAGAAGTTGAAAAACAAAATCTTGTAGTCCAGACCCTGGAACTGAGAACCCACCTCTCCTCGGTGCTAAGTGAATGATGTTCCAAAAGGGCAAGTCACTCCCTTTATTATAAATTATAGGGGGAAAAACCTTATACTTTACATCAGAACATAGAGTATTTGTGCAACAATAACTCATTTAGGATTTGATCTTGAGGGACTTCAGCCAGAAAGCCTCTTTTTTTATTAAATATAATTATTACTTTGGAAAAAAAGAAAAAACCAACTACCTATACAAAATGGTGTTTAAGTGATTCTTGGAGTCTTATTAAATGTTCTTACATGAACAGTAGTACTTTTAATATAGATAATATTTAGTAGAGATAATTTTTTAATATATTTTTCATAAGACATGGTAATATTTTACCATTTTGGGGAGCTTCAGCAAGAAAGTTCCCCTTTACCCCATAGATCAACCTGTGTAACTCACCACCACTTAGTGCTAAAAAAGTCATGTCTTCTCCTTTAAATATATTTGGTTCTGGTTTCAGATGGATGTAAATGTTAAGGTATTCTAATTTAAGAAACTGTTTCTTTCTTTCAATTTCATTTCTTTCTTAATAATTTAAGCAGAGCTAGTCCATCAATATCCAAGACTATATATAATAAAATATAAGTCTATATAATAAAACTGTTTAAAAAAAAAAAAATGATAAATCTATTTTAGTTATTTGCTTAGAACATAGCGTCACCTAAATATGTAAATAGCAAAATGTAATTTATTATGATCACTGAAATACCATAAGGGATAAATTCACAATGAAGCCTCATTGTCAAAATAAGTTTTTAAAATTTATTCCAAACAAACTAGGCACTGCTGAATCTATTTCACAAATTTTCTACTTTGTTTTACCCTTTACAGTACTTAAGTTGTAACTTTTGGGTACCCAATGGCCCAACAATGTGCTTTTTGTGGACCCAGTTTTAGGTCAGTAAGTTTTATTTGATTTTTTTTTCCTGTAGGAATTACATACTTCATAGTTCTTGGACTAGCCTTCTCCACCTTTTCTTATTTCTCGTCAACTGCTTTCCAGTTTCATGCATGTTGTTTTGCAACATCTTTGTTCATAAGAAAATCTCAACTTACATTACCAAATACATATCCAGCATTAGTTGCTTCCCCTTACATTATATATATAGATTTGAAAAAAATTTAATATTTACCACAATAGAATAACATTAAAGTAACCTGAAATTATATTTCTAGCCTCCTGAAGAACAATCGAGTATACTTTAATTACAAGGTTAGCCCTAACCATTATAAACATAAGTTAGATAAGTTAATTTGGGAAAAATAAATTAATATTCTAATAAAAGTTAATTTATTATTTGTATCAGATAAATTATATTATCATTAATTAGAGGAAGAGCTTAATAATCATTCATCAACAGGAACAGCTTTGGCATGATGGTTCCGCAGCAGATGATCTGAAAATTCTGCGTACGGTGCCCTAGATAATGGCACATCACGCCAGAGATCTGGCGTCAGATAACCATATGTTTTTGATATGGCTTCAAACGTAGCTTTTGCTAGAAACAAAAAAAAAAAAAATTAATATACTATCCTTTTGGATTTTTCCTGTATTTTCAGTGCAAACTTGATTTGCAAATAATTTTAATATTCTATAATATTTATCCCATAAATCAACAATGCAATGATTAACAAATTCTTTAAAACTTATAAAGTTATATATAATGTTCTTTACATAGTAAGAAGACAATGAATAAAAGAAAAATAACAATGAAGTCTTACATATTCTTTTACCGAAAAATAGTTTTACAATAAATTTCTGACAACTGAGCTCAGACCCTTTTAACCATCCTAGGAAATCAACTCCTCTGTGGAAACCGCAAAAGTTTGAACAAAATTATCATCATAGTTCAGACGATGATTAAAATAATTTGAAAAAGTAAAGAATTCACAATCTCAATATAATAAAAGTCAACTTCTCACCAGCTACCAGAAGTCCAGGACTGATATAAAAAGTATCATGCAACTTCTCATAAAAGGGAATTTTAAAAATAAAAGTTAAATTGAATGATAGAAACAGTCTTTAGATAAAAGATGCTTGAGGATCTCTTTTAACAAATAATTCAATAATAATTTGTGAAAAAGGTTGAGTTCAGATGCTTCTAAACCATCCTGAGAAAAAAAAATCATATAGTAGAAACCACAAAAGTTAAAATTTAACTCTCATTACTGTTCAAAAAATCTGAAACCTATTTGTACACAAAAGAAAAATGAATATAATATAAAAAGCTTATCTGCAGTTTAACGATTATAGAATTTTTTTTTTACTTTAAGTAATTTCTATTCTTTTGACCATGAGGAAAATTTATTCATAATATATAATTTTACTTATGTAATATTTTAAATAACAGAATGCATGTAAGTTGTGATCCTTCTACTATTATGAATCCATGGTTGTTGCTCTTTAGATCGAAATGGCAGATTTGATTTTGATGAAACATTTTTCTGTTGTTCCATTAGGTTTTACAACATTCTTAACCTTTTTGCTGGCAATCATCAGGGTGAATTTAAAAATATACCACAGATACAAGCTTTGACACTCGTATGAATGTTATAAGCTTAACTTTGTAGGATTAATTACTTATCGTTGAGTGTTACGGTCTTACAAGGCCTTCTCTTAGCCAGTCATCCCTATATTTTGCTCATGTCCTCCATCTCCTTAGTCCAAGGAACTTGAGGTCTTCCTCGACGCTATCCAATAATCTCACTCTTGGTCTTCTTCTATATTGTTCCCTCCGGTTTTTCCATACAACAGGCGTTTTGATATCCTAGTTTCTAACATCTGAGATATTTGAGGTGGGTTTTTTCACAAATGATACCAGGGCTGGTCTCCCATACATTGCATGAAACACAATTCTTCCTTGATTTCCAGATTGGCCTATGTATCCTGCAGAGTATTTTCCGTTCACAGACATTGAGTATCTCAGACTTCGTAGGATTATAATCGAGTAATTTCACTTTACTTTTCATGGAGTTTATACTACCGAAAATAAGGATATAAAATAAATCAAAATCAAGCAGTGAACTGTACTTACCAAAGTTTCCAAGAGTGCCAGTTGATCCTGTGGCAGATGTATAACAATCTTCAATACCTGCCATCTGCAGAAGCTTCTTGGGTACAGGGGCACCTACAATGCCAGTTCCTCTGGGTGCTGGAATAAGACGCACTTGCACACTACCACACTTTCCTGTAACCTGGACAAAGAATACTTAAGTTGCAAACAATTCAAGTTTAACTAATACAAAATATGATTCTTTTGATTTATAAAGGCTTTCCAGATATACTTTAACCACTTTTCTTTATATATTTCATACAATAATTAGGTAGTGGATTGATTTTTCATCACTAAAGAATTGAAAAATCTAATGCTATAATGATATAAAATTTATAAGTACATTATTTAAAATCTCCTTCAGTGAATGATCGGAACAAAAAACATAATTTTATCCAGAGATTAAGTGTAAAGCAACAGTAAATGAACTTCTGATTGAATTTATTTAAGTTTCAAAATACAAATTACATTTTGATATAATTGTAAGGTTTATACAGATTAAATAGCCAATTGAATAATTTACCTTGCAAGGTACAGTGTGGGGCTTTCCGATCTTGTTACCCCAATAACCACGCCTGACTGGAACGACAGAGAGCTTAGCAAGGATAATAGCACCACGGATAGCAGTAGCCACTTCTTTGGAACATTTCACGCCCAAACCAATGTGTCCATTGTGGTCTCCAATAGCTGTCACAATAACAAAAATCAAAAAACAATATTGAATTAACTAAAACCTAAAATGACAATAAAATAATACTAACCAACAAAGGCCTTAAATCTTGTTCTCTGCCCGGCTCTAGTCTGTTTTTGAACTGGCATGATCTTCAGAACTTCATCTTTCAATACAGGGCCAATAAAAAAATCAATAATTTCAAATTCCTAAAACATTTATCTTAAATTAATTCATTAGAAAAATACAAATAATAAGATAGATAATTATCCAGTAAATTGATAGTTCTTGGGTGTGGATATCACAACTAGGTAACTGCAATTCAGCTTTGTCGATAAAAACCCAATTTAACGTTTTTTCATGATTTTGGAAGAATGTGAGACTTGAGTTTTCATTGTATTTTTGCAATCATTTCTAAATTTTATATAATTAGAAGTTTCTATAGTTCTAAAATGGAATTTTGTCCTGGTGATCAATTCACCTATTTTGGAAAATTTGAAGTAGTATCTATAAATCGCCAGCAATAGTAACTTGATTATTGCCCTTTTTTTAATCGAACCTTTCTCTACAATTTCTCCTCTTTTGCAAAATTTGTAGTTACCTAGCATTCACCGCAAGAATTGATTCTAACCTTGATGGGTAAAGAGAATAGATATATATCTTCCAGGGTTCTTATTTTTCCATCCTTGACCAGACGACCTAACTTTGTAACTGGCTGCCATTCCTTCTCTCCTTCCTTACCACGTCCTCTGCCTCTGCCACGCCCACGTCCTCTTCCTCGTGGTCCACCACGTCCACTGCCACGACTTCCGAAACCTCCTCTAAAGCCTCCTCGGCCACCGGCTGGAGCTACATCCGCCATATTTCTGAAAAATAATAACTGTTTACAAACCAGGAACACAACACAAATACAGTCAAACTTTTTTATAATTTGCAATAACTTTATTTAAAATTTTTTAGGTGGTTACACTCTTGCCTAGGTATTTAATATTTAAGTATAATTTTTGTCTCAATATTTTTCTGAGAATTTAAACAAGATCAGATGAACAATAACCCTGCCTTGTAGGGCAATAAGCAATAAAGTAAAAGTGTTTTAGATGCTTGCAAAAATTTAATGACTGCTGAACTCTTAAAATTATTTGCTGATGGCTTTAAATGACTGCTGAATTATTTGCTTAAAAATAAAAGTTTTAGATTAAAATTAAAACAAAAAAAATAGAAGCTTGAATATAACTGTACTGCCTTATTCTATTATCGTTGCACCTTAATATATGTTTTATTCCAGAATCCTATTTTGGCATCACAGATATTTATTGTTTAGATATAATTCTAATATAACTAGCAGCTTTAACAAATATTTTACATAGATTTATTTTTGTTGAAGTTGTTTCAATTAAAATGTTTTGACTAGAACTGGTTAGAATTGAGAGCTCATAAATAAAAAATATAGAACTACATTTGAATCCGCAAAAGTTGCATAACATGAGTAGAAAAAGGCCTTTCTTTTAATCTGAGTTCTCAATTGAAACCATTTATTACTTTGAGGGGAGCATGGTTGCTTAGTGAGCAAGGTGCTATGTTCCTATCTCCTGACCCTAGGTTCAAGTCCAGTTGTGAGAGATAATTATCAATTCTATAAAAATAGAGGATATTAGGATTGAGGATGGAGTCAGGCGACTATCCTGAGCAACACCCAGCCTCTATAAAGTGGGAGCTCATAACCTAGGACTAAACATCAGATATATAAATATTTAATGAGAATAACAAATTCATGTACATAAAAAACTTGAATATACGATAAAAAAAAGCTGAGAAGAATGCATGTTTAAAAAACACAACAAGAATTGAAGGACATTACTTTTTCCAGTAAGTGTAAAGAAAATATCTTAACATGGCAACTACTTAAAAAATATGCGGCCATTATACCAGGACATCCCATAACATCTAACATTTTCCAATAAATCCAAACAAAGGCTTGGCGGAAATTACATATTTGATTGGCGGTTTGTTGGTTTATAATAAAAAAAATATGAAACAGCGAATGTTCGTTGCACGCAGAGTGAAGCCGCTGTTCAAGAAATTTGTGCTTTTGTCATCTCACCACAATGGCTGCGAATGGCGTGTGGAAAAGGTTTGCTTACCCACACAAAAGTTATGTCCACAATGGAAGAGAAATTAATTATAATATTACAGGACAAAATTGTATTCAATATAATTATTCTAATGTCAAATATAATTTTAGATAGATTTAATGAATAATCTATATCAAGACAGTGTATTCTCTAATTATGAAATCTAAACGTGTTCAATTCAATTAATAGCCTATATTTCACATTCAAAAATCGTCGAATATATGCACAAAAGGAATTTAGCGGTGTGGTACGAATATTTGAAATAATTCATCAAAAATTGAACATGACTCCTAAATTTAATGAACACGTGGTCCTGAGTTGTGAATATTGTCTCCGCATTTACCAGCTATTGTAATAAAATAAACAGTCGTTAATTGCAAAAAAAATACATATATTTAGACAACTCGCTCAAATCTAACATGCCTACATATTAATTTTAAAAATAAAAATAATAACAATAATAGTAACGATCCTTACCTCAACCAGGTCCTAGCTAGTCTGAAAGGGCCCAAGTTATAAGGGTAGGTCTAGTTTAGGTAGGTACAAATTTGGAAATCGGAAACAGCCGAGAGCCCCCGATCTTGCCCGATCGTTGCAATACCTAATCTGCCGAAATAAGAAATAATAACTTTCTATTTCTTTTTTTGTTATTATTTATTCGTTTATTTTTAAATGTAAGATACCCTAAAATATTGTATTTTTTTTCAATCCAGTAACTAATGGCATGTATCGGCTATCCAAAAATGTGGCTATACAGTACTTCGAATCAAGTATCTGAGTACTGAAGTAATCGTTTCATTTATATGAAGTATAAATTAAATGTATGTATATAAAAAAATATACAATTATTTTCCAGGCTGTGGCGTATCTTGGGGGTTGGTGGAAGGGGAGCACGGCCCGGGGTCGGCTTACTTCAAAGGCCCCTCGACTTAGATTTTTAAAGTATCTTTATTGCAAAACAATTATATACGTTTTGTTATCAGAAGGGGATTTTATTATTTTTTATTTTGATTATTATATATTGTTTTAATGGTCAGGTTTGCCAACGAAGCCAGGACGATTTCAAATATACAGCTGTGTGTTCATGCAGGCATTTAAAAAAAAAAAAAAAGAGAAAGAAAGAAAAAAAAATCAGAACAAAAATTTGTCTTCCGTTTAACGCTACAGACATCGCGGAACAAATTTGATTTCATGTCCTACCACTTAACGAACTAAAAAGATTTTGCCTCAAATGGGGAGGAACATTTTCGTTAATTTTTTCAAGTAGAGGGTGTCCTTTTTTCGTAATTAGTTTCTTTCAAGATGTTGAAATACTAAAAAACATAAAAGTCGATATCAAACATAAAAATTATTTTTTATATCTGTTGATATTTTATTTTTAATATTTTATATGTTTTTAGAAGGGGACAGCTGTCCCACCTAGTCTTTCTCATCTCCCCTTGCCTGAGTTTTGTTATTTTTTAAATTGGCAATTTAGCACGGACATCTCAGAAACTGCAAGATAGTCTAAAAACGAAAATCTTCAATATCAGGGGCTGATCTACGGGAGGGGACGGGAGGTTTCAGGCTGAAGCTCCTCCACCCTCCCCCTCACCCCCCTCCCCCCAAATTGTAAAACATTACCATATCTTATGGAAAAAATATTAAAAAATTATGTCTAAAAGTGTTATTATTCATGTAATTACATTTAATTGGACTTCATGAATCACTTATACACCATTTCTTATAGGTTGTTAGTTTCTTTCTATTTTTTCCGAAGTAATTAGCATTATATAAATTAAAAATATATGTTTTGGGCTGAAGCCTCCCCCACCAAAAATTAAATCCTGGTTCCGCTACTGGTCAATATTGTTGCAAATTTTCAGTTTTTATAGAATAATATTTTTTTATAGAATGTCTTTATCACTAGGAGCATGGTTTCCATGATACAACCAGCAAATAAAAAAAATTGACATTTTGGTTACCCTCTCCCTCCCCCACATTTGGCTCACTACCTAGGAGTGGGGACTCTAAATTTGTCCCAACAATGTCTTGAACCTCATAAATAGGATTACTTTCATTTTCCTCTATAATCGTTCATTGAATGGACTAATAGTTGAACAAATCAACTATAAAAGAGATATGTTTTTTTATGAAAAAGTATTGATAATATTATTATGGTACTAGTGCAGATTTCACAGTAAATTCATTTTAATAATGGCATGTTCAATTTAATCCACAAATGGATGAAATCCCAGATCTAGTGTAAAATGGTTCAATAATTTTTTTATTCCTAATATTTTTATTTAAAATAATTAAATAACATTCTCTAATATTCTTCTGTTTTTTTTTTTTTTTACAATGGTAATATCTTTGTATAATACAATAAACTTTTCCCCAAGGGAATTAAAGCCTTCTAAATTTATTCAATTTATTTTATCGTAATAACTTTTCGAGCCTGTTGGCTCATTTTCTAGTTTTTCTTTTTTTTTTTCTGTCTGCATATTTCCAAAAACTGACTGTTAGTTTATCCTTAATGAAACTAAATATACTTATACTTAAACTACTTATCCTTAATGAATTCCTGTTGCCGTTCTAACCAATAGAGAATATAATAAGGTGTAATGTTCAAATTAAAATGTCAGAGTTTATTATCAATCCAAATTTTATTTTAAAACAAATATCTATATGTTTTTATGAAAAAATTAATATTAATATTGAAAAGCAAAAATTATAAGAACATGATGTTTGGAAATATAAATAAAGGAAAAAAAAGAAAAGATAAATAAGGAAAAAAACCAAAGATGAATAAGAAAACAAACCAACTGGATTGAAATGTTGTTCAAGATAAAACAACGTGATAAAAAAGTTTTTAGTATAATCAAATTCTTCTTCTAAGATGAAAGAGTATTTACAGCTCTGCATGTCTGATGTACGCAGCAAAATTACTATCCCATAACAACCGTTTTATAGTGTAATTGTTATTAATCGTTTTAATTATGTAGTTATATTCTCAAAACTTACTAAAGAAAAAAAATTAATAAAATATTTCCTTTACTGCACTGTGACTAGAAGTTACTGTAAAAGTGACAGGGCAGAGTGAAGTAAAGTGGTATGCCGCAATATGGGAAACCCTAGGTCCTGGCAGAGGAAGGTTGTCATCTTTGAGAAAAGGAAACTTCTTGTGCCAAACCATTAACAGAACCAGGTTTGCTCCTCAGTGTGAGAAATCAGTATTATACAGTTTGGCTACCTCCCATCATACAAAATAACATTTTTAGTATCGAATAATATGTTTTTAATTTTTAAATGGGCTCAAAACAAGTTAAATAAACTGTGTGGCAATATGATTTCACCAAAAATTAGTTGTGATTTTGAATCAATAATATTTAATACGTAATGAATAAAATAATCTTATTAAATAATATTTCAAACAGTTGTGGGCCTAGTCAAATACTGCTCACATTATCAGTAATATTGATAATGTTTCAATCTTTAGATCTCCACAACATTAAGAGTAATTAATCTTGTAAAAGCTGGAAGGCCCAAAAGAAGTTCCTAAAAATTTCTAAAATGTTTTTTTTTTTATGGCAAAAATGGTGTCTTTTTAGTGGCTGTAGCAAAATAAATGCAACTTTGATGTAACAAATTTTTATTTTATTACATAATAAATTATCAGTACATCAATACCTACATAAACAAAGTTTTTATATATAATTGACACTACATAAATATATTCATTTCGGTATCCTCAGCCTAATTATTATGTAATAATTTAAAGACATATTGATTATATAGTTTAATATAAGTATATAAGATCAGTTTGAGGAAGAAGTGATATTGCATTTATTGTTCCATTTTTTCTTCTGTTTTTTCAGACTTCTTATCCTTTTCATTAGTCACCGCTGGCGTCTTTGTTTGAACAATTGGGATAGTTCTGCCTTCTATTTCTGGTGTTGGCTATAAGGAAAAAGATATATAATTAGAGAAATATAATTAGAAATTATCATAAATATATGAGTTGAAATAAAAAGGTTAAATAATATTGAATACAAAACTAAAATAATACTATTTACCTTCTTCTTGGCTTTGAGGGTAAGCACACCATCAGTTGACAAGTTGGATTCAATTGCACTTTGATCTACATCCTGAGGAATCTTGTAACGGCGGGTAAACTGACGAGTGATGAAACCGTGTTCATCGGATCTCTCTTCATGTTTTCCTTCAATTACTAGATAGTCATCAACTACTTTCACTTTAAGTTCATCTGGCTTGAACTGCTGAACATCCAAGTTGATTTTGAACTCTGACTTATCGGATGAGATAGTAGAAATTCCAGAATCACCTAAAGCCATGCTTCTCCATGGTCGCAAATAACCACAACGCATCGGAGATACCTGAAATTCATAGCAAAAGTTGAAAATATTTATATTAACCTTGTCTATATTTGGTTAAATGAAATTGAATCTCTAGGTATTGAACATATTTCTGGAAAAAGATTTTTTTCACAAGAATTTTCAAATGTTTAATAAGTTGTTGGACTGGCGATAATTAAAGGAGTAAAAATTTCAGTAGGGTGAGTAATTTTTTTCATTTTGTTCAGAAAGTGAATATCTTGAAACTGTACTTTAATGATGGATGTATATCATAAATAATATGTATATACTTTAGTAGTATATGTATATCAAACACATATTCTTAAAATAGAGTTAGGAAACATTCCATTCCTGGACAAAAACAAAATTGACATACTCCACTATCATTCCAACGCCCTCAATTGAATAATATATTTAAATTTTACCAAAAGGTAAATTTATTTAGGGTAGCACAATGTGTATGTGGAGGATTTAGTTGGATCTGACCTTAATTTGGGCTTTGATTATTACAGGCTGGCAATGATTGTTGGGAATATTAGCTTCACACAATTTGGCTTCATTAAGCCTTAGTAGCAGTATTATTATTCACACTGACTTATTTGCCTTATGGTCAATTTAAATTAATCAAATTATACCTTCATTGTAATTTATTGAACGTTTCAGGGTATTGAAGATATTGCAATAATAAGCAATATTTTACTCCCCCAAGAAATTAAGTGTCACAATAATTCAATATATATATATATATATATATATATATATATATATATATATATATATATATATATAATAAGATTGATTCAATGATTAATATACAACTCTTTGTAGTTTATTCAATTTCTTTGGGGAAGAAAATATTAATGAGGAGGACGAAAATTCCACAAAATGTTCAAAAAATTGCAAATTAAAGACTAATTGGATTAATTTAAACTGACCATAAGGCAAATAAATCAGTGTAAAAAGAATAAAGGTTAATCACGAATAATGGAAAAATGATTATTATTTATTAAATTAAGTTATTCAAATATTTATTAAATGAAAAGAATTATTAATTAAAAAGAAAGGCTCATAACTGAAAAAAATTGTATAAACTGTCTAGTTTTACTCACCAAGAGCTGGTTCAATGGACGAAGCGCCTCATCGTTAAGAAGTCCAAGGCCAAAATGCTGGTCATAGAGGGAACGGTTAGACCTGTCCTCCATCATTTCACTTACCAACGGCCACAACAGAGACATCTGTTAAGCAGAAAAGAGAAATTTTATAATAGGAATAATTGAAAATAAAAAATAAAAAACCTAGTGTTTCATAACTAAAAATATTGTGTTAGCTTAGTAGCTAAAAAAAATTTGTTGTAAATATATCACTTGAACTATTGAACGTATTGAACTATAAAGATATGCTAGCAATAAGAAAGCTTCCGCATTCCTTTCTTTCTTTTTTTTTTTTTTTTGCTTATTAGATTTTGGAATTCACATTATATTTTAATAACTATAGTTACAGCAAATTATTAATATTTTCTGATCAACAAATTTTTTTTTTAACATTAATTTAAGAAATTAAAAGATAAATAAACATATTCCAATAAAATATATTTTAAAAGTCAATATAAAACTATGACAAATTATTTAAATGATAAATGTATTTGTTAATTAAAAAATATTTGATTACGATTTTCTGAAAATGGAGGAAGTTTTTACAAATTGATAATTAGTTTTAAAACACTTTATTCAGAAATATTACAATTTGTCAAAGTTAAGGACACTTATAATAGAGTTCAGAGATTGCATTCATACCGTATATACAAAAATATAAATAAATAAAGTAATAATAAAAGAATAAGAAGAAAGAACAAAAGAGTAAAGAAAAAAAAAATATATATATATATACACATAAGTAAATAAAAATAGAAATAAAAGTAAAACAAACACCTTATATAAAACATACATTATTTACAATTTGCCAGGTGATCTCCGAACCAATCCTGTCCCCTCCACATGTGGAGGGAAAAGGGAGGCTTAGGAGATCCCTACGCTTCTCCCTCAGCCACTTCACTGGTATTTAAAACCAGCGGAGGATGAGTAAGAGCACTACAGCCACAGACACTCATGACTTGAGTGGAGAATCTGGCCATTGCTAGAACTCCAAAATATCCATATTTACAAAAGGTCTCGTGGCCACTGCCGCTTTAACCTACGAAGGGGATTGTAGGGATGGGTGGTGCTTGATAGGGATTGTACAACGGGATTTGGGTGATGAGAAAGGTTCTGGTGAAATTTGGAAAATTTGGCTGGGATAAGATCAAGAATAAATGGGATATTAAGGTCATGGTGTAGGGTTTTATTGGTTACATAGAAGGGAGCATTGACTATTGTACGGAGGACTTTAGACTGAAAGGATTGAATGCGTTTGATGTTAGAAAATTTGGCTGTTCCCCATAGTTCTAGTCCGTAAGTCCAGATGGGTTTCAGTATTGTCTTGTAGATCAGTAATTTGTTTTCACCAGAAAGTTTAGATTTTCTATTCAGTAGTCTATATAGCTGGCCATATCGTCTGTTAAGTTCCTGTCTTTTAAGTCGAGTGCAAATTGATAATAATGTTCTGCATATTCAAGATATACAACAGTAACTAAATACATTTTGTAGGTTATAAATTTTGTACATTGAGAAGGCTACTTTAATGGGGAGAACATGTTCTTTAGGCTTTGGTATTAGTTAGTTACTTGTTTTAATGATTTATTAATAAGGAAGGAATTATTATTTTTCAGACATTGTAATTGCGTTTAGTCTTGAAGATTTTAAAATATATATATTTATTACAGACTGAATGATAATAAAACTATTTATTTTTTTCTGGGTAATAATGGTTTTATATCGCAGCAATGTATTAAAATATGTTTGTAAAAAAGGTATGATAATTTTTTTTTATTACTTTAAATAAGTAATGCAATAAATAATATTGTATTAATTTTATGATTTTTTGTTGTTGTTGTTTAAGATACAATAATCTTTTTTATTATTTGTTTGATATGCAATAAAAAAACTATATGCCTATATTATTGATTATGCCTATGTTATCAATTCAAGTTAACTATTTTGCTTTAAATATTTTCATGTTTTACACGATGCTTTTCTTTACTTACTGAATTTTTAAGGTTAAGGCATGGATCACAAATAGCTTGAATGAGCTAGATTTCATTGCTTTTACAAACTTCATTATTTATAGATCTCATTACTTGAGGATTGATCTGTTTATCCCTTCCCTATTCCGGCTACAGCGGAGTAAATATACATTAAGGATACCGAATCCATTTTCATAAAAATTTAGAATTTATTTTAGCTGTTACGTATTGAATTTCACATCTTTTAATGTTAATGTTATTAAATAATATCGGTTAAGAATTTCTCTGGGTAGGAATAGAACAAAAATTTATTATGAAAAATCTTTAGCAGCTTCATAAAATAAATTTTCATTTGAAAACAAAAAATGTTGCCAGTGTATTGGATTTTTTTTTTGTTATTTATTAGGAACGAGAAATTTTATTGATATTTTGTTAAAAAAATAAGAATTCCTGCAAAACTTTCGTTCATCACTCTTGGCATGTGAGGAGAGGCATTTGTTTTCAAAACTGTTTATAAAAATTCTTTAAATTTTATTTTTACTAGTTTTTAATAACCTGTTTCAGGAATTAGTTCTTCCTAAAAAAAAGAAAAAAGAAAAACCGACAATTTTTGGCGACCAATTAATTTACTAAAAACGTCGTTTTATTCTTTTTACACTGATTTATTTGCCTTATGGTCAGTTTAAATTAATCCAATTAGTCTTTAATTTGCAATTTTTTGAACATTTTGTGGAATTTTCGTCCCCCTCATTAATATTATTAATATTGTGGCTGTAGTGCTCTTACTCATCCTCCGCTGGTTTTAAATACCAGTGAAGTGGCTGAGGGAGAAGCGTAGGGATCTCCTAAGCCTCCCTTTTCCCTCCACATGTGGAGGGGACAGGATTGGTTCGGAGATCACCTGGCAAATTGTAAATAATGTATGTTTTATATAAGGTGTTTGTTTTACTTTTATTTCTATTTTTATTTACTTATGTGTATATATATATATATATTTTTTCTTTACTCTTTTGTTCTTTCTTCTTATTCTTTTATTATTACTTTATTTATTTATATTTTTGTATATACGGTATGAATGCAATCTCTGAACTCTATTATAAGTGTCCTTAACTTTGACAAATTGTAATATTTCTGAATAAAGTGTTTTAAAACTAATTATCAATTTGTAAAAACTTCCTCCATTTTCAGAAAATCGTAATCAAATATTTTTTAATTCGTTCGTCGTTTTATTCTTTTTACACTGATTTATTTGCCTTATGGTCAGTTTAAATTAATCCAATTAGTCTTTAATTTGCAATTTTTTGAACATTTTGTGGAATTTTCGTCCTCCTCATTAATATTTTCTTCCCCAAAGAAATTGAATAAACTACAAAGAGTTGTATATTAATCATTGAATCAATCTTATTATATATATATATATATATATATATATATATATATATATATATATATATATATAATAAGATTGATTCAATGATTAATATACAACTCTTTGTAGTTTATTCAATTTCTTTGGGGAAGAAAATATTAATGAGGAGGACGAAAATTCCACAAAATGTTCAAAAAATTGCAAATTAAAGACTAATTGGATTAATTTAAACTGACCATAAGGCAAATAAATCAGTGTAAAAAGAATAAAACGACGAACGAATTAAAAAATATTTGATTACGATTTTCTGAAAATGGAGGAAGTTTTTACAAATTGATAATTAGTTTTAAAACACTTTATTCAGAAATATTACAATTTGTCAAAGTTAAGGACACTTATAATAGAGTTCAGAGATTGCATTCATACCGTATATACAAAAATATAAATAAATAAAGTAATAATAAAAGAATAAGAAGAAAGAACAAAAGAGTAAAGAAAAAATATATATATATATATACACATAAGTAAATAAAAATAGAAATAAAAGTAAAACAAACACCTTATATAAAACATACATTATTTACAATTTGCCAGGTGATCTCCGAACCAATCCTGTCCCCTCCACATGTGGAGGGAAAAGGGAGGCTTAGGAGATCCCTACGCTTCTCCCTCAGCCACTTCACTGGTATTTAAAACCAGCGGAGGATGAGTAAGAGCACTACAGCCACAATATTAATAATATTAATGAGGGGGACGAAAATTCCACAAAATGTTCAAAAAATTGCAAATTAAAGACTAATTGGATTAATTTAAACTGACCATAAGGCAAATAAATCAGTGTAAAAAGAATAAAACGACGTTTTTAGTAAATTAATTGGTCGCCAAAAATTGTCGGTTTTTCTTTTTTCTTTTTTTTAGGAAGAACTAATTCCTGAAACAGGTTATTAAAAACTAGTAAAAATAAAATTTAAAGAATTTTTATAAACAGTTTTGAAAACAAATGCCTCTCCTCACATGCCAAGAGTGATGAACGAAAGTTTTGCAGGAATTCTTATTTTTTTAACAAAATATCAATAAAATTTCTCGTTCCTAATAAATAACAAAAAAAAAATCCAATACACTGGCAACATTTTTTGTTTTCAAATGAAAATTTATTTTATGAAGCTGCTAAAGATTTTTCATAATAAATTTTTGTTCTATTCCTACCCAGAGAAATTCTTAACCGATATTATTTAATAACATTAACATTAAAAGATGTGAAATTCAATACGTAACAGCTAAAATAAATTCTAAATTTTTATGAAAATGGATTCGGTATCCTTAATGTATATTTACTCCGCTGTAGCCGGAATAGGGAAGGGATAAACAGATCAATCCTCAAGTAATGAGATCTATAAATAATGAAGTTTGTAAAAGCAATGAAATCTAGCTCATTCAAGCTATTTGTGATCCATGCCTTAACCTTAAAAATTCAGTAAGTAAAGAAAAGCATCGTGTAAAACATGAAAATATTTAAAGCAAAATAGTTAACTTGAATTGATAACATAGGCATAATCAATAATATAGGCATATAGTTTTTTTATTGCATATCAAACAAATAATAAAAAAGATTATTGTATCTTAAACAACAACAACAAAAAATCATAAAATTAATACAATATTATTTATTGCATTACTTATTTAAAGTAATAAAAAAAAATTATCATACCTTTTTTACAAACATATTTTAATACATTGCTGCGATATAAAACCATTATTACCCAGAAAAAAATAAATAGTTTTATTATCATTCAGTCTGTAATAAATATATATATTTTAAAATCTTCAAGACTAAACGCAATTACAATGTCTGAAAAATAATAATTCCTTCCTTATTAATAAATCATTAAAACAAGTAACTAACTAATACCAAAGCCTAAAGAACATGTTCTCCCCATTAAAGTAGCCTTCTCAATGTACAAAATTTATAACCTACAAAATGTATTTAGTTACTGTTGTATATCTTGAATATGCAGAACATTATTATCAATTTGCACTCGACTTAAAAGACAGGAACTTAACAGACGATATGGCCAGCTATATAGACTACTGAATAGAAAATCTAAACTTTCTGGTGAAAACAAATTACTGATCTACAAGACAATACTGAAACCCATCTGGACTTACGGACTAGAACTATGGGGAACAGCCAAATTTTCTAACATCAAACGCATTCAATCCTTTCAGTCTAAAGTCCTCCGTACAATAGTCAATGCTCCCTTCTATGTAACCAATAAAACCCTACACCATGACCTTAATATCCCATTTATTCTTGATCTTATCCCAGCCAAATTTTCCAAATTTCACCAGAACCTTTCTCATCACCCAAATCCCGTTGTACAATCCCTATCAAGCACCACCCATCCCTACAATCCCCTTCGTAGGTTAAAGCGGCAGTGGCCACGAGACCTTTTGTAAATATGGATATTTTGGAGTTCTAGCAATGGCCAGATTCTCCACTCAAGTCATGAGTGTCTGTGGCTGTAGTGCTCTTACTCATCCTCCGCTGGTTTTAAATACCAGTGAAGTGGCTGAGGGAGAAGCGTAGGGATCTCCTAAGCCTCCCTTTTCCCTCCACATGTGGAGGGGACAGGATTGGTTCGGAGATCACCTGGCAAATTGTAAATAATGTATGTTTTATATAAGGTGTTTGTTTTACTTTTATTTCTATTTTTATTTACTTATGTGTATATATATATATATTTTTTTTTTCTTTACTCTTTTGTTCTTTCTTCTTATTCTTTTATTATTACTTTATTTATTTATATTTTTGTATATACGGTATGAATGCAATCTCTGAACTCTATTATAAGTGTCCTTAACTTTGACAAATTGTAATATTTCTGAATAAAGTGTTTTAAAACTAATTATCAATTTGTAAAAACTTCCTCCATTTTCAGAAAATCGTAATCAAATATTTTTTAATTAACAAATACATTTATCATTTAAATAATTTGTCATAGTTTTATATTGACTTTTAAAATATATTTTATTGGAATATGTTTATTTATCTTTTAATTTCTTAAATTAATGTTAAAAAAAAAATTTGTTGATCAGAAAATATTAATAATTTGCTGTAACTATAGTTATTAAAATATAATGTGAATTCCAAAATCTAATAAGCAAAAAAAAAAAAAAAAGAAAGAAAGGAATGCGGAAGCTTTCTTATTGCTAGCATATCTTTATAGTTCAATACGTTCAATAGTTCAAGTGATATATTTACAACAAATTTTTTTTAGCTACTAAGCTAACACAATATTTTTAGTTATGAAACACTAGGTTTTTTATTTTTTATTTTCAATTATTCCTATTATAAAATTTCTCTTTTCTGCTTAACAGATGTCTCTGTTGTGGCCGTTGGTAAGTGAAATGATGGAGGACAGGTCTAACCGTTCCCTCTATGACCAGCATTTTGGCCTTGGACTTCTTAACGATGAGGCGCTTCGTCCATTGAACCAGCTCTTGGTGAGTAAAACTAGACAGTTTATACAATTTTTTTCAGTTATGAGCCTTTCTTTTTAATTAATAATTCTTTTCATTTAATAAATATTTGAATAACTTAATTTAATAAATAATAATCATTTTTCCATTATTCGTGATTAACCTTTATTCTTTTTACACTGATTTATTTGCCTTATGGTCAGTTTAAATTAATCCAATTAGTCTTTAATTTGCAATTTTTTGAACATTTTGTGGAATTTTCGTCCTCCTCATTAATATTTTCTTCCCCAAAGAAATTGAATAAACTACAAAGAGTTGTATATTAATCATTGAATCAATCTTATTATATATATATATATATATATATATATATATATATATATATATATATATATATTGAATTATTGTGACACTTAATTTCTTGGGGGAGTAAAATATTGCTTATTATTGCAATATCTTCAATACCCTGAAACGTTCAATAAATTACAATGAAGGTATAATTTGATTAATTTAAATTGACCATAAGGCAAATAAGTCAGTGTGAATAATAATACTGCTACTAAGGCTTAATGAAGCCAAATTGTGTGAAGCTAATATTCCCAACAATCATTGCCAGCCTGTAATAATCAAAGCCCAAATTAAGGTCAGATCCAACTAAATCCTCCACATACACATTGTGCTACCCTAAATAAATTTACCTTTTGGTAAAATTTAAATATATTATTCAATTGAGGGCGTTGGAATGATAGTGGAGTATGTCAATTTTGTTTTTGTCCAGGAATGGAATGTTTCCTAACTCTATTTTAAGAATATGTGTTTGATATACATATACTACTAAAGTATATACATATTATTTATGATATACATCCATCATTAAAGTACAGTTTCAAGATATTCACTTTCTGAACAAAATGAAAAAAATTACTCACCCTACTGAAATTTTTACTCCTTTAATTATCGCCAGTCCAACAACTTATTAAACATTTGAAAATTCTTGTGAAAAAAATCTTTTTCCAGAAATATGTTCAATACCTAGAGATTCAATTTCATTTAACCAAATATAGACAAGGTTAATATAAATATTTTCAACTTTTGCTATGAATTTCAGGTATCTCCGATGCGTTGTGGTTATTTGCGACCATGGAGAAGCATGGCTTTAGGTGATTCTGGAATTTCTACTATCTCATCCGATAAGTCAGAGTTCAAAATCAACTTGGATGTTCAGCAGTTCAAGCCAGATGAACTTAAAGTGAAAGTAGTTGATGACTATCTAGTAATTGAAGGAAAACATGAAGAGAGATCCGATGAACACGGTTTCATCACTCGTCAGTTTACCCGCCGTTACAAGATTCCTCAGGATGTAGATCAAAGTGCAATTGAATCCAACTTGTCAACTGATGGTGTGCTTACCCTCAAAGCCAAGAAGAAGGTAAATAGTATTATTTTAGTTTTGTATTCAATATTATTTAACCTTTTTATTTCAACTCATATATTTATGATAATTTCTAATTATATTTCTCTAATTATATATCTTTTTCCTTATAGCCAACACCAGAAATAGAAGGCAGAACTATCCCAATTGTTCAAACAAAGACGCCAGCGGTGACTAATGAAAAGGATAAGAAGTCTGAAAAAACAGAAGAAAAAATGGAACAATAAATGCAATATCACTTCTTCCTCAAACTGATCTTATATACTTATATTAAACTATATAATCAATATGTCTTTAAATTATTACATAATAATTAGGCTGAGGATACCGAAATGAATATATTTATGTAGTGTCAATTATATATAAAAACTTTGTTTATGTAGGTATTGATGTACTGATAATTTATTATGTAATAAAATAAAAATTTGTTACATCAAAGTTGCATTTATTTTGCTACAGCCACTAAAAAGACACCATTTTTGCCATAAAAAAAAAAACATTTTAGAAATTTTTAGGAACTTCTTTTGGGCCTTCCAGCTTTTACAAGATTAATTACTCTTAATGTTGTGGAGATCTAAAGATTGAAACATTATCAATATTACTGATAATGTGAGCAGTATTTGACTAGGCCCACAACTGTTTGAAATATTATTTAATAAGATTATTTTATTCATTACGTATTAAATATTATTGATTCAAAATCACAACTAATTTTTGGTGAAATCATATTGCCACACAGTTTATTTAACTTGTTTTGAGCCCATTTAAAAATTAAAAACATATTATTCGATACTAAAAATGTTATTTTGTATGATGGGAGGTAGCCAAACTGTATAATACTGATTTCTCACACTGAGGAGCAAACCTGGTTCTGTTAATGGTTTGGCACAAGAAGTTTCCTTTTCTCAAAGATGACAACCTTCCTCTGCCAGGACCTAGGGTTTCCCATATTGCGGCATACCACTTTACTTCACTCTGCCCTGTCACTTTTACAGTAACTTCTAGTCACAGTGCAGTAAAGGAAATATTTTATTAATTTTTTTTCTTTAGTAAGTTTTGAGAATATAACTACATAATTAAAACGATTAATAACAATTACACTATAAAACGGTTGTTATGGGATAGTAATTTTGCTGCGTACATCAGACATGCAGAGCTGTAAATACTCTTTCATCTTAGAAGGAGAATTTCATTATACTAAAAACTTTTTTATCACGTTGTTTTATCTTGAACAACATTTCAATCCAGTTGGTTTGTTTTCTTATTCACCTATGGTTTTTTTCCTTATTTATCTTTTCTTTTTTTTCCTTTATTTATATTTCCAAACATCATGTTCTTATAATTTTTGCTTTTCAATATTAATATTAATTTTTTCATAAAAACATATAGATATTTGTTTTAAAATAAAATTTGGATTGATAATAAACTCTGACATTTTAATTTGAACATTACACCTTATTATATTCTCTATTGGTTAGAACGGTAACAGGAATTCATTAAGGATAAGTAGTTTAAGTATAAGTATATTTAGTTTCATTAAGGATAAACTAACAGTCAGTTTTTGGAAATATGCAGACAGAAAAAAAAAAAGAAAAACTAGAAAATGAGCCAACAGGCTCGAAAAGTTATTACGATAAAATAAATTGAATAAATTTAGAAGGCTTTAATTCCCTTGGGGAAAAGTTTATTGTATTATACAAAGATATTACCATTGTAAAAAAAAAAAAAACAGAAGAATATTAGAGAATGTTATTTAATTATTTTAAATAAAAATATTAGGAATAAAAAAATTATTGAACCATTTTACACTAGATCTGGGATTTCATCCATTTGTGGATTAAATTGAACATGCCATTATTAAAATGAATTTACTGTGAAATCTGCACTAGTACCATAATAATATTATCAATACTTTTTCATAAAAAAACATATCTCTTTTATAGTTGATTTGTTCAACTATTAGTCCATTCAATGAACGATTATAGAGGAAAATGAAAGTAATCCTATTTATGAGGTTCAAGACATTGTTGGGACAAATTTAGAGTCCCCACTCCTAGGTAGTGAGCCAAATGTGGGGGAGGGAGAGGGTAACCAAAATGTCAATTTTTTTTATTTGCTGGTTGTATCATGGAAACCATGCTCCTAGTGATAAAGACATTCTATAAAAAGTTATTATTCTATAAAAACTGAAAATTTGCAACAATATTGACCAGTAGCGGAACCAGGATTTAATTTTTGGTGGGGGAGGCTTCAGCCCAAAACATATATTTTTAATTTATATAATGCTAATTACTTCGGAAAAAATAGAAAGAAACTAACAACCTATAAGAAATGGTGTATAAGTGATTCATGAAGTCCAATTAAATGTAATTACATGAATAATAACACTTTTAGACATAATTTTTTAATATTTTTTCCATAAGATATGGTAATGTTTTACAATTTGGGGGGAGGGGGTGAGGGGGAGGGTGGAGGAGCTTCAGCCTGAAACCTCCCGTCCCCTCCCGTAGATCAGCCCCTGATATTGAAGATTTTCGTTTTTAGACTATCTTGCAGTTTCTGAGATGTCCGTGCTAAATTGCCAATTTAAAAAATAACAAAACTCAGGCAAGGGGAGATGAGAAAGACTAGGTGGGACAGCTGTCCCCTTCTAAAAACATATAAAATATCAACAGATATAAAAAATAATTTTTATGTTTGATATCGACTTTTATGTTTTTTAGTATTTCAACATCTTGAAAGAAACTAATTACGAAAAAAGGACACCCTCTACTTGAAAAAATTAACGAAAATGTTCCTCCCCATTTGAGGCAAAATCTTTTTAGTTCGTTAAGTGGTAGGACATGAAATCAAATTTGTTCCGCGATGTCTGTAGCGTTAAACGGAAGACAAATTTTTGTTCTGATTTTTTTTTCTTTCTTTCTCTTTTTTTTTTTTTTTAAATGCCTGCATGAACACACAGCTGTATATTTGAAATCGTCCTGGCTTCGTTGGCAAACCTGACCATTAAAACAATATATAATAATCAAAATAAAAAATAATAAAATCCCCTTCTGATAACAAAACGTATATAATTGTTTTGCAATAAAGATACTTTAAAAATCTAAGTCGAGGGGCCTTTGAAGTAAGCCGACCCCGGGCCGTGCTCCCCTTCCACCAACCCCCAAGATACGCCACAGCCTGGAAAATAATTGTATATTTTTTTATATACATACATTTAATTTATACTTCATATAAATGAAACGATTACTTCAGTACTCAGATACTTGATTCGAAGTACTGTATAGCCACATTTTTGGATAGCCGATACATGCCATTAGTTACTGGATTGAAAAAAAATACAATATTTTAGGGTATCTTACATTTAAAAATAAACGAATAAATAATAACAAAAAAAGAAATAGAAAGTTATTATTTCTTATTTCGGCAGATTAGGTATTGCAACGATCGGGCAAGATCGGGGGCTCTCGGCTGTTTCCGATTTCCAAATTTGTACCTACCTAAACTAGACCTACCCTTATAACTTGGGCCCTTTCAGACTAGCTAGGACCTGGTTGAGGTAAGGATCGTTACTATTATTGTTATTATTTTTATTTTTAAAATTAATATGTAGGCATGTTAGATTTGAGCGAGTTGTCTAAATATATGTATTTTTTTTGCAATTAACGACTGTTTATTTTATTACAATAGCTGGTAAATGCGGAGACAATATTCACAACTCAGGACCACGTGTTCATTAAATTTAGGAGTCATGTTCAATTTTTGATGAATTATTTCAAATATTCGTACCACACCGCTAAATTCCTTTTGTGCATATATTCGACGATTTTTGAATGTGAAATATAGGCTATTAATTGAATTGAACACGTTTAGATTTCATAATTAGAGAATACACTGTCTTGATATAGATTATTCATTAAATCTATCTAAAATTATATTTGACATTAGAATAATTATATTGAATACAATTTTGTCCTGTAATATTATAATTAATTTCTCTTCCATTGTGGACATAACTTTTGTGTGGGTAAGCAAACCTTTTCCACACGCCATTCGCAGCCATTGTGGTGAGATGACAAAAGCACAAATTTCTTGAACAGCGGCTTCACTCTGCGTGCAACGAACATTCGCTGTTTCATATTTTTTTTATTATAAACCAACAAACCGCCAATCAAATATGTAATTTCCGCCAAGCCTTTGTTTGGATTTATTGGAAAATGTTAGATGTTATGGGATGTCCTGGTATAATGGCCGCATATTTTTTAAGTAGTTGCCATGTTAAGATATTTTCTTTACACTTACTGGAAAAAGTAATGTCCTTCAATTCTTGTTGTGTTTTTTAAACATGCATTCTTCTCAGCTTTTTTTTATCGTATATTCAAGTTTTTTATGTACATGAATTTGTTATTCTCATTAAATATTTATATATCTGATGTTTAGTCCTAGGTTATGAGCTCCCACTTTATAGAGGCTGGGTGTTGCTCAGGATAGTCGCCTGACTCCATCCTCAATCCTAATATCCTCTATTTTTATAGAATTGATAATTATCTCTCACAACTGGACTTGAACCTAGGGTCAGGAGATAGGAACATAGCACCTTGCTCACTAAGCAACCATGCTCCCCTCAAAGTAATAAATGGTTTCAATTGAGAACTCAGATTAAAAGAAAGGCCTTTTTCTACTCATGTTATGCAACTTTTGCGGATTCAAATGTAGTTCTATATTTTTTATTTATGAGCTCTCAATTCTAACCAGTTCTAGTCAAAACATTTTAATTGAAACAACTTCAACAAAAATAAATCTATGTAAAATATTTGTTAAAGCTGCTAGTTATATTAGAATTATATCTAAACAATAAATATCTGTGATGCCAAAATAGGATTCTGGAATAAAACATATATTAAGGTGCAACGATAATAGAATAAGGCAGTACAGTTATATTCAAGCTTCTATTTTTTTTGTTTTAATTTTAATCTAAAACTTTTATTTTTAAGCAAATAATTCAGCAGTCATTTAAAGCCATCAGCAAATAATTTTAAGAGTTCAGCAGTCATTAAATTTTTGCAAGCATCTAAAACACTTTTACTTTATTGCTTATTGCCCTACAAGGCAGGGTTATTGTTCATCTGATCTTGTTTAAATTCTCAGAAAAATATTGAGACAAAAATTATACTTAAATATTAAATACCTAGGCAAGAGTGTAACCACCTAAAAAATTTTAAATAAAGTTATTGCAAATTATAAAAAAGTTTGACTGTATTTGTGTTGTGTTCCTGGTTTGTAAACAGTTATTATTTTTCAGAAATATGGCGGATGTAGCTCCAGCCGGTGGCCGAGGAGGCTTTAGAGGAGGTTTCGGAAGTCGTGGCAGTGGACGTGGTGGACCACGAGGAAGAGGACGTGGGCGTGGCAGAGGCAGAGGACGTGGTAAGGAAGGAGAGAAGGAATGGCAGCCAGTTACAAAGTTAGGTCGTCTGGTCAAGGATGGAAAAATAAGAACCCTGGAAGATATATATCTATTCTCTTTACCCATCAAGGTTAGAATCAATTCTTGCGGTGAATGCTAGGTAACTACAAATTTTGCAAAAGAGGAGAAATTGTAGAGAAAGGTTCGATTAAAAAAAGGGCAATAATCAAGTTACTATTGCTGGCGATTTATAGATACTACTTCAAATTTTCCAAAATAGGTGAATTGATCACCAGGACAAAATTCCATTTTAGAACTATAGAAACTTCTAATTATATAAAATTTAGAAATGATTGCAAAAATACAATGAAAACTCAAGTCTCACATTCTTCCAAAATCATGAAAAAACGTTAAATTGGGTTTTTATCGACAAAGCTGAATTGCAGTTACCTAGTTGTGATATCCACACCCAAGAACTATCAATTTACTGGATAATTATCTATCTTATTATTTGTATTTTTCTAATGAATTAATTTAAGATAAATGTTTTAGGAATTTGAAATTATTGATTTTTTTATTGGCCCTGTATTGAAAGATGAAGTTCTGAAGATCATGCCAGTTCAAAAACAGACTAGAGCCGGGCAGAGAACAAGATTTAAGGCCTTTGTTGGTTAGTATTATTTTATTGTCATTTTAGGTTTTAGTTAATTCAATATTGTTTTTTGATTTTTGTTATTGTGACAGCTATTGGAGACCACAATGGACACATTGGTTTGGGCGTGAAATGTTCCAAAGAAGTGGCTACTGCTATCCGTGGTGCTATTATCCTTGCTAAGCTCTCTGTCGTTCCAGTCAGGCGTGGTTATTGGGGTAACAAGATCGGAAAGCCCCACACTGTACCTTGCAAGGTAAATTATTCAATTGGCTATTTAATCTGTATAAACCTTACAATTATATCAAAATGTAATTTGTATTTTGAAACTTAAATAAATTCAATCAGAAGTTCATTTACTGTTGCTTTACACTTAATCTCTGGATAAAATTATGTTTTTTGTTCCGATCATTCACTGAAGGAGATTTTAAATAATGTACTTATAAATTTTATATCATTATAGCATTAGATTTTTCAATTCTTTAGTGATGAAAAATCAATCCACTACCTAATTATTGTATGAAATATATAAAGAAAAGTGGTTAAAGTATATCTGGAAAGCCTTTATAAATCAAAAGAATCATATTTTGTATTAGTTAAACTTGAATTGTTTGCAACTTAAGTATTCTTTGTCCAGGTTACAGGAAAGTGTGGTAGTGTGCAAGTGCGTCTTATTCCAGCACCCAGAGGAACTGGCATTGTAGGTGCCCCTGTACCCAAGAAGCTTCTGCAGATGGCAGGTATTGAAGATTGTTATACATCTGCCACAGGATCAACTGGCACTCTTGGAAACTTTGGTAAGTACAGTTCACTGCTTGATTTTGATTTATTTTATATCCTTATTTTCGGTAGTATAAACTCCATGAAAAGTAAAGTGAAATTACTCGATTATAATCCTACGAAGTCTGAGATACTCAATGTCTGTGAACGGAAAATACTCTGCAGGATACATAGGCCAATCTGGAAATCAAGGAAGAATTGTGTTTCATGCAATGTATGGGAGACCAGCCCTGGTATCATTTGTGAAAAAACCCACCTCAAATATCTCAGATGTTAGAAACTAGGATATCAAAACGCCTGTTGTATGGAAAAACCGGAGGGAACAATATAGAAGAAGACCAAGAGTGAGATTATTGGATAGCGTCGAGGAAGACCTCAAGTTCCTTGGACTAAGGAGATGGAGGACATGAGCAAAATATAGGGATGACTGGCTAAGAGAAGGCCTTGTAAGACCGTAACACTCAACGATAAGTAATTAATCCTACAAAGTTAAGCTTATAACATTCATACGAGTGTCAAAGCTTGTATCTGTGGTATATTTTTAAATTCACCCTGATGATTGCCAGCAAAAAGGTTAAGAATGTTGTAAAACCTAATGGAACAACAGAAAAATGTTTCATCAAAATCAAATCTGCCATTTCGATCTAAAGAGCAACAACCATGGATTCATAATAGTAGAAGGATCACAACTTACATGCATTCTGTTATTTAAAATATTACGTAAGTAAAATTATATATTATGAATAAATTTTCCTCATGGTCAAAAGAATAGAAATTACTTAAAGTAAAAAAAAAATTCTATAATCGTTAAACTGCAGATAAGCTTTTTATATTATATTCATTTTTCTTTTGTGTACAAATAGGTTTCAGATTTTTTGAACAGTAATGAGAGTTAAATTTTAACTTTTGTGGTTTCTACTATATGATTTTTTTTTCTCAGGATGGTTTAGAAGCATCTGAACTCAACCTTTTTCACAAATTATTATTGAATTATTTGTTAAAAGAGATCCTCAAGCATCTTTTATCTAAAGACTGTTTCTATCATTCAATTTAACTTTTATTTTTAAAATTCCCTTTTATGAGAAGTTGCATGATACTTTTTATATCAGTCCTGGACTTCTGGTAGCTGGTGAGAAGTTGACTTTTATTATATTGAGATTGTGAATTCTTTACTTTTTCAAATTATTTTAATCATCGTCTGAACTATGATGATAATTTTGTTCAAACTTTTGCGGTTTCCACAGAGGAGTTGATTTCCTAGGATGGTTAAAAGGGTCTGAGCTCAGTTGTCAGAAATTTATTGTAAAACTATTTTTCGGTAAAAGAATATGTAAGACTTCATTGTTATTTTTCTTTTATTCATTGTCTTCTTACTATGTAAAGAACATTATATATAACTTTATAAGTTTTAAAGAATTTGTTAATCATTGCATTGTTGATTTATGGGATAAATATTATAGAATATTAAAATTATTTGCAAATCAAGTTTGCACTGAAAATACAGGAAAAATCCAAAAGGATAGTATATTAATTTTTTTTTTTTTTGTTTCTAGCAAAAGCTACGTTTGAAGCCATATCAAAAACATATGGTTATCTGACGCCAGATCTCTGGCGTGATGTGCCATTATCTAGGGCACCGTACGCAGAATTTTCAGATCATCTGCTGCGGAACCATCATGCCAAAGCTGTTCCTGTTGATGAATGATTATTAAGCTCTTCCTCTAATTAATGATAATATAATTTATCTGATACAAATAATAAATTAACTTTTATTAGAATATTAATTTATTTTTCCCAAATTAACTTATCTAACTTATGTTTATAATGGTTAGGGCTAACCTTGTAATTAAAGTATACTCGATTGTTCTTCAGGAGGCTAGAAATATAATTTCAGGTTACTTTAATGTTATTCTATTGTGGTAAATATTAAATTTTTTTCAAATCTATATATATAATGTAAGGGGAAGCAACTAATGCTGGATATGTATTTGGTAATGTAAGTTGAGATTTTCTTATGAACAAAGATGTTGCAAAACAACATGCATGAAACTGGAAAGCAGTTGACGAGAAATAAGAAAAGGTGGAGAAGGCTAGTCCAAGAACTATGAAGTATGTAATTCCTACAGGAAAAAAAAATCAAATAAAACTTACTGACCTAAAACTGGGTCCACAAAAAGCACATTGTTGGGCCATTGGGTACCCAAAAGTTACAACTTAAGTACTGTAAAGGGTAAAACAAAGTAGAAAATTTGTGAAATAGATTCAGCAGTGCCTAGTTTGTTTGGAATAAATTTTAAAAACTTATTTTGACAATGAGGCTTCATTGTGAATTTATCCCTTATGGTATTTCAGTGATCATAATAAATTACATTTTGCTATTTACATATTTAGGTGACGCTATGTTCTAAGCAAATAACTAAAATAGATTTATCATTTTTTTTTTTTTAAACAGTTTTATTATATAGACTTATATTTTATTATATATAGTCTTGGATATTGATGGACTAGCTCTGCTTAAATTATTAAGAAAGAAATGAAATTGAAAGAAAGAAACAGTTTCTTAAATTAGAATACCTTAACATTTACATCCATCTGAAACCAGAACCAAATATATTTAAAGGAGAAGACATGACTTTTTTAGCACTAAGTGGTGGTGAGTTACACAGGTTGATCTATGGGGTAAAGGGGAACTTTCTTGCTGAAGCTCCCCAAAATGGTAAAATATTACCATGTCTTATGAAAAATATATTAAAAAATTATCTCTACTAAATATTATCTATATTAAAAGTACTACTGTTCATGTAAGAACATTTAATAAGACTCCAAGAATCACTTAAACACCATTTTGTATAGGTAGTTGGTTTTTTCTTTTTTTCCAAAGTAATAATTATATTTAATAAAAAAAGAGGCTTTCTGGCTGAAGTCCCTCAAGATCAAATCCTAAATGAGTTATTGTTGCACAAATACTCTATGTTCTGATGTAAAGTATAAGGTTTTTCCCCCTATAATTTATAATAAAGGGAGTGACTTGCCCTTTTGGAACATCATTCACTTAGCACCGAGGAGAGGTGGGTTCTCAGTTCCAGGGTCTGGACTACAAGATTTTGTTTTTCAACTTCTTAATGTACATTAAAATAAAGTATAAATAACATTACATACATTATGTAATATCTCTACATAATATATTTGTTCATACTTGATAAGAGGCTACAATTGGATGGGAAATTATTCCTGGAGCTCTTGATTTCTTTCTATGGTTCTGCATTCACTGAACATACCAACTAAATTGACAGCTCCAAGTGCCAAATAATATTTTCGTCAAAGTATCAGTAGTATATTTATGCACTAAGTTGAAAGTACATAATTTATTAGGAATTTGTGGAACTAAAAAATGCTTCACCTCTCAAAAGTATATTCTCATCATGCTTCTGCTGTTAGACCAACTTCAAATGATGAGTGGTTTTAAGGATTTTATTTATTATCCCTAATAATAATAAATTTAAAAAAAAACCTGTTGTGCAACAACCCAAGAAAGGTCTTGGTTTCAGTACTATTTAATTTAGAAGTTAACATGGCTTATATTAGTATTACAGTAGTTTTCAACCCTTATAAAACCACTATATCATCTGAGGATGTTATGGAAGCCTAAAGGTAATGGTAATTAAATAATTTATTTAATAGAAAAGATTTTTCCCTAACTTTACTACTCACGTAAAACACTAAGTAGTATTGATGAAATCGAATGGTTGCATGGAAATGGGAACTTGGGACTAATTAGACCCATTTGGAGGCAGGTTGGTAAGCTGAAAGTGGAGAACCATAATGGAGGGTTGGCACCCTTGCTTGAGTGGTTGCGCTGTCTGCAATTCTTAGGGGTTTATAATAATTAACTAACTGTTATTTTTTTCTTACAGTAATTTAAAGACTTCTGCATATTTATTCCATCTACTTATCTCATATTAATATTAGTCTTTTTAGCCGAAAGTACTGGAACCTTCTCCACCAACGATGATGGATTGATGACTTAATGTTAAGTTGCGAGTATTCCTGTATTTTCTGACGCTACTACGCCTATGATTCTTTGTGTGGTAAAGCCGTATATCATGAACATTAATCGCAATAGTTCGTCGAAAGAGGTCAGACGACTAGATGACTGCCGGCGGACTTGTTTTTCAGAAGCGGTAGTTCCTGAATCAGGTAGCTGACACAACCTGGATCCGAGAATTCGATGAGTCCACCACTCTCTCCAAACAGTGCCCGTCCTCGAGCAGTGACAGGCGAGTGTATCCGTCCACGACATCCTTAGGGTATTTCAATCATTATGTGTATGATTATGGAATGTCTATCTTGTGGACAGTCATAAGCATCTGTATGGTATATTGATGACACACCGAAGAGTTCGGTTATGCCTTTAGCCTTCGTGTAGTTTTTTATCAATGGCATAACTATAAATAAAAAAAATTCTCTATTATTCGTGAACCTCAAAATTTAGACGTACGCTACGCCTATCCAAAAACATTTTGAATTTTTCACAATTATGAATAACAGATAGTGTGTTAAATAAAAGTACCCTTCATTCCCTTATGCCCATTAATGTATATATCATACCTTAAAAATATCATTTATCAAATTGAACAGAACTTCTTCCTATTTCTATAGGAGGTGGCTAATTCTACAGGGAAATTTAATTTTAATTTAATGAAAATATTTTTTTGTTTTTTTATCGTTTTGACATATATTCTGTAGAAATAGTTGATAATATGATATTTATTTAGAAACGTATTACCAAAATATCTGTTATTCAACTGTTGACTCATATAGGAGAGGGAAGTGTAAAAGAAAGGGTGACAAAATACAAAATTAAGCTTGCCACGATGTGGCTAAAGTCCTGGTACCGGTTCTGCTTTTTACTAAAAAATATTCCATAAAGATTATAACTAAAAATAATTACATCATTTTTAATATTATTATAATGCTTTTTACGAGAGTTTCAAAATATTAAAAGAACCCACGACAGTTAAAATGATATATATCACATAGGTCATTTTTATTTATTTATTTTTGTTGTAAATTGCGATTTCATAAGATAAAATGAGTACTTTTGATTAGCAACGTGTAACTTATACTACTAAAAAAAAAAAGATCGACAGCACAAGAAACGGATCAACTTCGTGAAAATGCATTCATTGATGACTATGTTTGCTTAAGCTCTTTTAAAGTAAATCCTTTGACCGAAATATTAGGGATGGCAGGACGCATATTATCTGAAGCACGAACGATTTTAAGGTATTTTTGGCAACCTGGTAGTTTGCCTAAAGTAATTTTTCAGATAAAAAATCTGGGTGTCCACTCACACGAGATTTGAGATTGAAAAAGATTTGAGTACAATTTATTAGATAAGGCAATGAAACCGGCTTTAGGTAGATCAGTGTAAAAATTTCGATACTCACTAATATTACTGATCAAAAACTTTTTGCTATAGCTTAGTATTGTCAAACAATAATTTCTGTTAAAAGTAGAGGAAATAGTGAAGATTGTGTGATGCGGCTACAGTAAACTCGTAATCTTTCATTGGAAATTGAATAGCTGTAACTTCGCTAATAATTGTCCAAAATGAACAATTTATATGGCTTTGTAGGGAATTTTATTACCTTTCAAACGATATGCTAAACGGCGTGTTTATCGGACTCAGGGGGCTGTGAAACGTATAGATCCGTCGAAAATCTGATGTCGGAAATTTGACCCGATTGCAATACTTTCCTTACCTAGTATAGGTAGGAAAGTAATAAGTTAAAAAAATGTGCAAAAAATAGAATAGGCTGTATCATAGCTAATACTGGTTCGATTCCAATAATTTTTTTTTGTTTTGTTGGTAATTTAATTACCTTTCAAAAGTTTTATTACAAATTTTACCGTATAATATATACTTAGCGAGTTAGGCCCCTTAAAATTTTTCTTTTCTTTATAACTTTTTTTTCTGAATTTTTTCGGGAATTTAGTCCATATACAGAAATTGAAAGGACAATGATTAGAACATTATAGGAAAGTTTATTCAAAATCGTCAGAGCCATTTTTGCGCAACAGTCTATAGAAAATAGTGTTTTTAATTTATTGCGCGCAAGCTATTGCGCATGGAGCACCGAATTTCTGTCACAGGCATCGGTAGTCAAAACCCTACAAAATAAAAAAAGAAGCAACGAAATCGGTTCAGTAGTTCCCGAGAAAATTTTGGCACAGACAGACAGACCAATGGCTAAAAATGTGTTTTTCGGACTCAGGGGGTTGTGAAACGTATAGATCCGTCGAAAACCGGATGTCGGAAATTTGACCCGATTGCAATACTTTCCTTACCTAGTATAGGTAGGAAAGTAAAAATGGTATTTATATTTTGTCCAATGATATATTGACAAATATGCGGTAGGATTGCAAGGATTGATGGCCAACTCTAATATTTCAGAAAGCTGTAAACTGTCCGTAATAGAATTAGGAAGTGGAAGAATAGAGCAGAGTATCAAACCAGAGAACATGGGAAAAATGGAAAAGACCAAAGCAATTGTAATTTTATATGATCTACAGTTTTTAAAATTCAACTTTAGTTTACACTGGTTATAAGAAGAGGGAAGCAAATATCTTGGAAGGAGGGAGAGGTTTATGCTCCATCGACCTTGCGGGGGATGGGCATCACATGTGGATGGGAATAAAGTA